CTATCGCTGACCCCTCACTCACCTGCCCCCGTCGTTGCGACAATTTTGGGCTTGCTGCGGGCACCATCCCCCTTGGTGGTGTAGGCGGCGACGGTAACGGAGTAGGTAGTCTCTGGGGTCAGGCCGCTGATGGTGGTTTCCTAAGGAGGAGGAGGGGCTCGTTCCCATCACCGAGGAGCGAGGAGGCCAGACCGTGCCAGCCACCTCAGGACCTCAGCTGGCAGGGAGTCTCTGGGGCACACGGGGCCAGAGGTCCTGGGGGCGGCGGGGCCGTGCAAGGCTGGACGCTGCCGGATGCAGGGCAGGCGGGTGGGATGTGTGCCCAGGAGGACCCCGCCCGTCCCAGGAGCTGCACGCCGGGAGCAGACAGCTCCCTCTTCCTTTCAGGTAAGAACAAAGGCCACGCTGTTCCTCTACTCCACTGCGCCGCGAATGACACCTCACGAGGTCTGTGCACAGGGGACACACGGGGCGAGCACCTTGCACGGCTCCCAGCACGCATGTGCACGCAGCCTACAGCTCCCGTGTAAGCAGGCAGAGGGCCACCGCGGTGCATGCGCCATGCACACACCCGTCCACACTCACACCCACAGGCAAGGTGGAGTGGGTCAAGGTGCTCCCCTGCAGGACCAGGTCAGGGCCCCGTCTAACCTCATGTAGGAATGGGCTCTGTGAACACCGCGTGCCTCGCAATACCTCGTGAGACGGGGAAGAGAAACGAGGACAGAAAACCCCCACCGTGGGGAATTACTTCCCCTGCTGTCTCGGGTGAGGCCTAAGGAGTCAGCCAGGGCAGGGTGTGCCAGCCTCGGCAGGCCCCGCCTATGCCCATCTCCAGCCGAGGCATCACTTCCAGACATGCGGAGGAACACCACAGGAGGCCAAGCCACGCCACACGGGTGGGGGGGGTGGGGGGAAGAGTGGGAAGAATGGGGGGGGACCACCGTGCGGTGGGAACAGAGCTGTCACCACCAACCCTGGTGTCCCTCCAGCTCCGGGTCTCAGGTGGGGCCACTGCAGCCACCACTGACCCCTCGCAGACACCCTCCTGCCCCAGCTGGAGGGTGTCCCAGGGCTGGGGCCCCAGAATGCACCAATGCCGGAACCGGCTCCCCAGATTTCCCTCCCAGCCTGGGCCCGGGAGCAGGTGATTTTTCACTCCAGAGATCAATAAGGCCTAATGATCAGGATCGGATTTAACTGCATCCCCGTCTGGCCAGAGCAGGGGCCAGGCCCTGGTCGATCACAAACACTGGCCTGAAACGGCTGCTCGACAGGCGAGAAGTTAAGGATTAGAGGAAATGCCAATCGCTGTTCAGCTCGCCGCCTGAGCCTAAATGCCAATTTTCTCCGGATGTGGCTGGTGCCCCGCGGACCTCGGCGGCTCAGGCTGGGGGGAAGGTGGGGGAGGGGAGCGTCCCGCGAGCCCAGCCTGACCCAGGTCTCGCCCGCGCTCGCACACCTGTTACTTACATAGTCCTCGGACTCCTCTGGCCGCCACTGACCGCGGGAGGGAGAGAAAGGGAGACAGGATGTGAAGGACTCTGCAGCGCGCCTGGCCCGGGCAGGGCACAGGGAGGGCACGGGCCTCTACAGGGCCTGCCCATGGGGGTATCACCCCAGGACCATTCCCCATCCGCAGATCCCAGCCCATGCTGTTTGCCAGGGCTGAGGAGGGGAGTGAGACTGGGAGGGCACACAGCCTGATGGGGAAGGGGGGGGGCACGGCTCCAGGACACACAGGGACCAGAGAGCGCCACCTACAGGTGCTTTGAGGGAGAGGTCACCAGACATGGGGGAAGACACCCTACTCCTCTGGCAGAGTCTGGCCTGGGCCAGTCCCGGCCTATGCCTATTATTGTGGTATGATTATTCAGTGTCTCCTTCCACTTTCCCAAGTCTCCCAGTTGGAAGACAGATTACGCAGCTGGCCCAGGCAGGAGCGTAGCCCAGAAGAGAGCTGCACCGGGGCCAGGAGGGGGGCGGGCAGGCTGGCCAGCAAGATGTTGAGAGTGTGAATGCCAAGCGTGGAGCCTGGGCCCTTGCCCACAGGCACAGGGGAAGCACTCAAGATGCTGTTCCTTCCTGGGGGTGCCTGAGATCTCACTGCGGTGGGAAGGCATATTTCAGGGCTGTCAATGTCGGTATTTCTTGGTACACTCTTCTTTAGGCCACAGTGCGTGTAGGTGCACTAGCTGGACAGACGGGGAGTGAGGTGTCCCTTCTGAGGTCCTGTGGCACCGAAGGGCTGAGGTTGGCCAGTGTCCAGCACCACAGAGGGACCATGGGTCCTCTGGCCCAACCACCCTCGAAGTGCGGCTCTGGCCTCTGTCCCCTGACTCCAGTTCCTCCTGTTCTGGGAAGCTCTGTTGGAAAGGTCTTACAAGAAGCGTGGGACAGAATATGGCAAGAGGCCATCAATGGGTCCCAACTGGCCGTGACCACCTTCAACAGTGTGGCTGGGCCCACCTCTGCTCTAGCTTCCTTGTTGGGGCGGCGGGGCGGGGTGGGGAAGACTCTTGCTATCCACGCCAGGCCTGGGCATGAAGTCCTCACAGAGCACCCCTCCCGTGTCGGAGGCAAAGTGAGGGAGGAGAAGGAAAGACAAAGTGGATGAAGCAAAATGGAGGGAGAGAGGACGGAAGGGAGCAGCGGAAAAGAGAAAGGCGAAGAGACTGAGGCAGGCACAGTCAGTGGGAGGAGACAGAGAGAGGGAGGAAAAACGTACTGTGAGAAACAGATAAACCTGAGATGGAGACATACATAAAAGGTGACAGGCCTGGCTGCACACTCAAGGGGGGTGTGACCCCTGTGCTTCTTCCAGAACTGATGGGGGCCCCGGGCTAAGCAGCTGGGGCTGCTGGGTGAAGAGGGACCGGCTGTGGAGTCCTGGACGGGGTGGTCAGGGGACAGCTGGGCCCTGTGGCCAGGCTGGGGACCAGGCCCTCCACCTTCAGTTGGCCTTCCTGGAGCCCCGGGTTCATGTCCACCCCGTCACAGCATGTCTGAGGCCACAGGGACAGCGTCCCTCCTCCTGTGGCCCAGCTCCCTTCCAACCACTTGGAAGCAGAAGGGGGCACCTGAAAGGGTGGCTCTGAACCCCACTGGCTGCAGCTGTGCCTTGGCCCCCAAGGATGGGAGGGGCTGGAGGGAGCCCATTCCCGGGATGTTTCTGGGTGGGTGTGTCTGTGGAGGCTCCAGGAGGAGTCCTCAACCTGCCCCAGGAATGCACATGTCCGCCTCCTCCACCCCGGTTCTCTCTCAGCGCTGGCCAGGCTGAGAGGAGGAAGACAGCCCCCTTGGGCCAGAGAGGAATTTTGGCTGAGTGCTAAGCCCAGACGGAGGCATGAAGGCCCCATTTGTCCGTGTGGGTGAGCCCACCCTGAGCACAACAGCATGGAGAATACAGGGTCGGTCCCTGCACCTCTGGGCCCTGCCCAGGGAGGGGGGGAAAGCTGGACAGGGCGGGCATGTGGGCTCTGAAGGGAATCTGGGCTCCTTCCCCCAGGGCTGGCTCAGTGCTGCCCACTGTGGATCCCCTCCCAGGGGCCCGATTCTGGCTAGGGAGACCTTGAAAGCAGACCACACCAGGTGTCAGGACTCTTCGGCAGAATATTTGGGGAGGAAACTCGCCATAGCAATTACAGCTTTTTTCAGGAGTCCAGAGACTAGGTTTCCTGTCCAAGCTCAGCCACTGACTTACTTACTGGGAAATTCTGGGCCATTCACATAACCTCCCAGTATCCCAGATTCTTTCCGGAATAGCAAGCCAGTGCTCAGGATACCCCGGGGACCTTACCCCAAGTGCACAGAGGAAGACATGAGGCTGGCTGCCAGGCCCACACCTTGAGTGTAAACACCAGGGGCTGAGCCATTCTCCTGGGGGCCAGGCCCAGAGCAACAGCCCAGCCCAGCCAGTCACAAAACTCCCTCGAGCGGGGGCAGACGGCAGCCCGAGCGCTGTCCCCGCCCTGGCTGGGAGAGGAAAGGCCGCCCAGCCCAGCACTGTTGAGAAGGAAGGCAAATCTTAAATCTCAGCTTAACTGACAGTGAATGCGCTTCCTGCAAAACACAAAGCAGGGCTTGGCGGGGGGG